ACTTTGTTAAATGTATATGAAAAAGGTTTTATTTCCAAGGAAGTAATAAAATAAGAATAATTAATAGTGTAATTAATTATTATTTATTTTTCTTATTTTAATTACGTTAATTATTTTCAATTCGGTACAGTTTAACTATGTTATTAAAATGTGCCAGGTAAAGAATCTTTGATTTTAGTTCTAAATAACATATGCAACATTGAAAATTTTGTAATAATCAATTTTGATGCAGATATTTTGTAATAAGTATTTTTTTAACTAATGTCATTTTTTTACAGTCTTAACTTACCGAGTAATAATTTACAGTTTTGTTTACAATTTCAGATAAAGAATAATTGACACAAATAGATTCGATAACTACATACCATATTTATATTGAAATAAGAATTACTGTTATTACACACGTCTTTAGTACATTATAAAAAAGTTGTAATACTGCTTCCTAAGCTGCTCTGTGGTTTCGTTAGATTAAACGAAGACTTAAAAAAAACAAATGTTGAAATAACGTGCAAAACTATTTTTATCCTGACCTGATGCAAAGCCCACACGGGTTTGCCGCCTTCTTCGACATAATACGCCACCCAGACATTTAATCTGTACAGAGGTTTCAATCTAATTTCAAGCTTAGTGACGTAATCTAAACGTAGACCGTGACGTACGCGACCCCAAAAAAGTTCTTTTAATTTTAATTAATCATGGTCGATATTCGACTTCGGGATGGAACCATTGGAGATCTTTTACGATGTGCCGACAGAAATTAATCTTTTATAGGACATCCGGGTACACCCTAAGATGTAATCTTCAGAAAACCAATACAGATCTTAACCATCTCTTGCACAGAGCAAGCCGCTGGTTACACCGTCTCCGAGGTATATGATCAATGCGAAAGCCAACGGCAAGCTTGGGCAGCTGAAACTCAGAAATAGTATTTCTGAATTATAACTGCAATATTAATAAATTTATCGTTTATGAATATTTTCCAGTTGTTATTTTACATATAAGTCTGTCGAATTTATGTCCTCCTGTTTGAAGTTCATTAAAGAAAAATTGTTTAAAAAAAACTAAAAAACATTTTTTTATTAAAGTTTAAAGTCAGTCAAAATAACGCCCAAAGGAGTCGGTTACAAACATACAAGTGAAGCTAATATAAAGCGTGTAAAAATTTTAAAGTTATAAGTTTGATTTTGGCGGCAATTTCCCTGCATGAAGGAGTGACCGCACTCATGTTAGAAGAATTTATTATTAAAATGGAATCACGTGGATGAGCGTATGATGTCTTAGTTCGAAAAAAAAACAATCAATGAATAAAGTTACCATATTTGATTTATCATATTATGCAGCTATGCTGTATTATAGGCTTAGAAAAGAGGTCACATACTCGTAGCAATTGCGCACATAATAGGTACCTACAATAATGTTCTGTCCGACCCGTCTGCTCCTTAAGTGGTGGTAACACTCAGCACTTATTTTGAAATTTTGATTTAAGCTCCGATTAACATATTTAAATGTTCATATAGAAGACTGTTAGAGGTTTGTTCTAAGGCAACAAACTTCTGCTAGACACAAAGACCAGTTAGCAGTTATTGTCTTGTGTTGTGTCAGACGCCGCATTGTTCACCGATTGATAAAATATAAAATACATCGGAAGATCCAGAACTATCTTTAATAAGTATGAACAAACTCCCAAATGATATTCTTATATAAAACCTCTATGTAACCATGTCCTAATAGATCTAATCTTATCACTGACCAACCCATATTTAACAGTGGTTCTATGTTTAAAGTTTAAATGAAGTATTTATTGCGCGCCAATTATACCAAGTCACTTCACGTGACCGCATTCTATCCCCATTTGTACAATATTGAGATCTATGCGATAAAAAATAAAATCTCGTTTTCGTTATTTTGTCGACAGCACATCAGTCCTTTTAGTTCTGTTGTCGTGCCGGCACGTGAGTAGCCCCCGCACGTGAATTACAACATGACGTACAATTTTATAACTTTTATTTATAGTTAGAATCTTAATTTTCAGCGCAAGGAGTTCATTTTCAAACGTAGTCCATGTTCAACTTACTTGGCAATTATGTCTTGTTCGATTTTGAAACATAGGGATGTATGTTTGTGTTTTTAATTCCTCAGAAAAATGCAAAAGGAATTGAAAATTATTACGTTCCGTTCCCTCAGAGTCAATCTAGTTAAAGTACATTTTATTCCATACATAAGGTTTGCAAAAGTAAGGACCTAATACTAGTATCGTTTTCTAGAAAAGAAGACTTTGTTAAGTAATATTAGCTATTATTGTCGTTGCACTTTTGGTTCATTTTAATGGAATTTTCGACCTCAGTGATATTTATGTTGCTGCTTGCAAAGAGACTGTTTCATCCATTTTATCTAAATTCGAACACACCACACCAGATTACCCGAGATAAATAGACTACGCCCTCAAAGCCTGGATAAGACGGAAGCTACACAGTTTTCACAATTTAATAATTGAATATCAAAAACCCTTAAGTTAAAATCTATTATTTATTTAGTATGTAATTATTTTACCGGTAATGAAATGGGGAGTAATTGATGTTGCCCGCTTCATACTGAATTTTGGTATAATTAGCAGAATTATGGATGTTATTATGCCAGGAGTTATCAGATTTGTTCTCGACAACGAGACGAACTCGAAGACGAGAAGCGATTAGAAAACTTAAAGTAGGCCGTAGTGTATTTTTCTTTTGTCAATTGAGAAAGAGGGAAAATAGAAAGAGGGAACGGTTACGTTTACAAATATGTTATGATGTTATGATAATGTTATGATTCATCAACGGAATTTGTTTGCCTGTTCAATGGAAAAAATCAAAGTAACGCGAACGCGTCGTCCGGCCGGCACGTGAATCAGCGAGGTGCACGTGATCTAGTGACGTCACAACACTGCAATTGCAAAGCTTGATACTAGTATGCACCGATCGAAAACGGAGCATTGAACTCATTCATTCAGTGACGAACCCATTGTAGCCTCGATGTAATTCTCCATTACGTAGTCACACTAAATTTAATTATTTAAAAAAACATATTTGAAAATAGAATCTACTTTCAATCATAAATGTTAGAAAGTGACCAACTAATGGAAAATAGACCCGCTTGAACCTGACTCATAGGTACTCACGTTCCCAGACACGTAACCTAATATTTTGATTAAATGACACGCAAACAGAATTTAGGGATGTATGGTTTTAATTTGAAATAAATATTAAGGCTCCGCTGAAGTCTCGTAACCTACACAATTGTAAGCAGGCGTCGAAACACGTGCCGTCGATGTGGTGACCACAATGTAGTCAAAACATGAGACAGTACGTAATACTTAATGATGTGGTCTCCACGTTTAATAGCAGGTTAATAATATACTTATACCATTAATAAAAATTCTATCACTATATATGTAAAAAAAAAATATTATCATCAACAACCTTTAGTAGTCCATTGCTGGACATAGACCTCGCCTTAGAAGTCATGTTTTGGTCTTCTATACCACGCTGGCTAGACGGGTTGGTAAAGGGTTTGTTTCATGTTTAACTTCTCTTTGCAGTGCTGTTGTCCTGCGTAGTTTGCTGCCTTAGTCGTCTCTTACGACATCCACGGGATGAATAGGGGTGTTGACACTCTGTATTCTTAATCCGTCACCACACGGACAAAATAATAAATAATGGTAAACTAATTCGCAATTAATTTATACGTGGAAATAATTGTTTGTCAGCAATTTTACGATAAGGATATTGTATGCTTTTTTGAGTGTAGGATGTTAAAACTGTAAAATTTATAGAACAGTATGCCATAAAAATAACATTAAAATGACGTAATTATGCTACACGTGTCTAGTATAATGGAACCGAATAGTTAAAAATAACATGAATAATGGTAAAATTTCTACCGCTAGACAATCTCAAGTAAATTATTTACGATAATTATGTTGTGCTTTATAAAGTTAAGTGTACACTTTATATTATTAACAAACTAAGATCCGAATCCTAGGAAATACATATTTCTCTTTCTCCTCCTAGGGCCGCTGAGTTAACAAATCTGACTAAATCTTCAAAGTCAACACAGTATTTCAATCAATTTTTGAATTGTAATCGTCATATGAAAAAAAGCATCGCCGCTGTTACTTTCGATAATATATTACCCTGTTTTTCATAATATTATCATATATTATTATTATGTTTTCCTTATTACAAGGGGACTGTAGATTCTTAACGAATATAAACATAACTATTCCCCTTAGTTTGTAAAAAAAAAAAAATTAGAATATTTTCTTAAATAATATATGTAAATACGAAGGTACGTTTCAGTTGCACATCTGTTAGAATTCAGAAATATTTTTCTGTAACTTGAGTGAATATAACATGTAAGTTAAACGATAAGTAATCACATTATTTAGGCAAGTGTTGATGAATTTAATTCTACACACTTTTATGTGTATGTAAATGAATGAACATATGTGTCATACCACATAAGTTTGTGTTTGCGTAAAATAACGTGACACCTTACCTGTGCACGTGAGCTTTTATTTATGATATGATATTTTTACATTCCCACACACATTTTTTGTATAAGATGTTTATCAATACGATGAGTTAGCATTTGAAGAACACTGGCTTTAAAAATGTTTTTTTTTACGCTATTTGTTGTATCCTATTTCGATTATAATCGATATTGAGCATTTTTTTAAATCACGAACTTCTTGCCTATCATAATAGAAGAAATTGATTTTTAATATCCTACCTTACCATTTAAGCATAGTCAACCTATCACCTCCGTCGAGGAGCAGATAACCGTAATATTTAGTGCGCAGTTGACGTGTATTCGCAGAGCCAGCAATTTTAAAAGACTGTCCCTTATTTTCTGGCTTTTCTATCGAACCTACAAACACATGTAGCTGTGTGGTGCCTGCTTGCAATCTCAGTAGTTACCGCAGCCATGTTCTCACCTGTCGCGTTTATTAAATATTGGTGATGAATGTGTTATTAACTCCGTTTTCGAGGCCGGATCCGTGTGTCCCAGACCACCTGCCCGGACTATTTGGGTAAGTACTTAGGTAGTTCGAATTTTAAATTATTTGTTTTTTATCGTCGATTAAGGCGTTTTTTTTTGTGAATTAAAGGTTTTAAATTAAAATAAGGATTTGTTCAATTTGTTTTTAGGTAACGTGTAACGAGTTTTTATTATGTTATGTTAATTGTAAAATAATTTAGGTTTTATTAGTTTCTTGTTATTTTTCGTATGAATTCGTTATTTTCCCTTACACAGATATGGGTAGACTGTTCAGATAAACAAAACAACGTGTATAATAGAATTCAATTTGATGCACTGATTGATGGACAGCATAAATCTTTTCAATATTTTGTGTATAGCGTCAACAATTTTATATGAGAATATCAAACAGTTGAAGGTTGACATGTTGGAATAAAAAATATGTCATCAGTTCATCACGTGGCTTCTATAAACATTTTTAAATCATATGATGATTATATGTATTATTTACAGAGTTGTCATAGTGAATAATGAATAGGAATAGTGTAGCGGGACCTAAACGATAAAAAACTTTTAATTTCAACCGGAAAGCCATCGTTTACATTTTTATTTTTTAACCTATTTAAAAAAAGGGAGAGGTTATCAATTCGCCTGTAATGTAATTCCTAGTTTACATGCGTGCCGAGGCTTGGCCAACGTCCATACGTCTTTACAAACGCTTGAATGCCATTTACACGCTTGCGAGTGTGCTATTGTGTTCCGGACAGGCAAACATAGACGACGTGGACATATTTTTATTCAAAATATTAACGGCAGTATATTCACTAGCCCTACTGCTCAACTAAACTGCTCAATCAGTAGAGCAGTTTAGTTGAGCAATTCCCGACTGCTCAAATAGAATGTTTGTAATATCGAATTGAGCGTCAACGTATAAATCGCAAACGCTTGCCGTGAGCTTCCTTTGATCTGTGATCAAAAACAGACACTAGTACCGATCGACGTTTACACGCTTGTGGGCACTTGTCGAGGCTCGCCATGCGTGTAAACGGCCTATAACATGTTATGAACATTTAAATGGCTAACGTTAACTATAAATCTGGGGCCGACCTGCCATAGTATACAATTATACATACAACCGATTTCTAATAAAAAAATATATAAATCATATCAATACAATGTCAAAGGTAATTGAAAAACACTTGTGACACCGTCTTACACTAAACGAAGGGTTAAACTGTAATAAATTTTGTGAAATCGAATGTTATTAAATTTAGAAAAACTTTTAATTAATATTATTTTAGTTTTGTTAACACGTGAAAACATCTTCACTAATTAAGATGGAGATAAAAATATTAAATTGATGAAGTTATTAATGCCTACATGTTTTTTCTAACCGATTTAAATGAAAAAGAGTACCTCTTTGTGTTTGTTTTTGGAGGGTACACTGCCAGTTGGTCTCATTCAAAGAAGAAAATATACTGGGGCAGAGTGGAAGAATAAAGAAATACAGTTTATTATGATATAGGCGGTTTGAAGGCGGTATTACTTATTTAAAAGTTAATATTTACACTAACTTTATTAAAAAATGATTTAATAAATAAAATTATTCAATTGATTCGCATATATTGGCATTTATGGGTCATTGTTCAAAATGGCAGACCCCTATTACAATCAGTTGGGACTTTTCCATCAAGCATTAAATGGGCCAACGTTGATGATATTTATACTTATTTGAAATTTCCAATGATATCGCACTTACTTTGTTTTATTAATAGTTAGCTTTCGACGGGGCTCCGCCCGCGTGTATGTTCGTTATCGCGGTATTAGTAGCCTATGTTACTCTCTGATAATGTAGCTTTCCATTGCCGAAAGAATTTTAAAAATCGGCTTAGTGGTTTAAGCGTGAAAACAGACCAAACAAACAAACAAACAAATTCACTTTCACAATTGTAATAATAAGTATGGATGTTTAAAAAGACTATAACACTAAAGGGGGGGGGGGGGGGGGGGTTTATTCAAATAATTTAAATATTCGATCTACTTTTGTTTGCGTACATATCAATATTTGCATATAGGTGTTTAGTTTTTTAAGCTTTTTCACCCACATTAAATAAAACTAACTTACACTCTTTTTAATTATATCTTATATATAAAATTGTCGTGTCACAATGTTAGTTACCATACTCCTCCGAAACAGATGGACCAATTTTTATGAAATTTTGAGTGCACATCGGGTAGGTCTGAGAATCGGCCAACATCATTTTTTTTTTAAAATGACAAGGGTGACCCACCCCTATTTTTTTTTACATATTTCCTAGAAATAATGTATATGGCAAAACAACGTTTGCCGGGTCAACTAGTTATATATATTTTTTTAATGAGCGTCTGTTGATATGATCAGTACGGACTATAGATAGAGCTGACACGTGTCACATAACACGTGTTCGGGTGTAATGTAACAGACAAGAATATAATTGAGTTACCTCCAAATAGGTACCTATGTAATTGAATTAATGATTAAAATTTTCAGTTAAAATAATTTTTAACAAAAAAACAAAGTATCTAAAAATAATTTATGTTTTGCTGTACTCAAATGTCAAGTCGAAGTTATGTGACTGGATTTATGACGCACTCCCAGAAAGTATTTGTAGACACAGATATCGTTATCTATACATATCTATACAAAAAATAAAATTGGTGTGTCTGTTTGTAATATTAAAATAACCGCTTTTTACTAAATGCATATGTATGTTTACACGGTACATATGCCAAAATAACATTTTTTACAATTTTTGTCTGTCTGTCTGTCTGTTTGTTCCGGGTAATCTCTGGACCGGCTGGACCGATTTCGACGGGACTTTCACTAGCAGATAGCTGATGACATAAGGAGTAACTTAGGGTACTTTCGTGATGACAGTGGCCAGCCAGTGTTGCTAGAAAAAATAGTAAACATTATTAACCCTAACCTCCCAACCCGTATAACTTTGGCGGCTTTTTTTTGTACGTTGTATGTATTGTTTATGTTTTACACTTATTTCACAATAAATAAAACCACAAACTTAAACATCTATATTTAGACAACACGTGTCTCTCGCGTCATAATAACACGTGGTTTGAATAATTTGTTTATCGACGTTTCGTGATCGGTTATCGTCACCCATATACCTTGTGGAGGTGAAAGTAGTACAAATCTTTGACTTCATTCCTGAAGGTCAAGAGGTTTCCTGATGTCTGGCAAAGCTACAGACCAATATAATCAGACGTCTCATCGTCATCTGAAAGTGTAGATTACTGAATGTAAACCTCCCGCAATAAAATGCATAAGTTAATAAAACAAAGGTTTAATATGTGGTAATGTATGTAGATATAGTATTTGTTACATGATGTCAAAGACAGTATGAGAATATAAAAAATTGTTTATGAGTGACGAAAACGTTTCGATAACAGACGAACACTCATGATGTTGTTGATATCGCTAAAGCGTAACACAAAAATTACGAAACGTGTTTACGCTTTTAAGGCTATTTGTATAAGTTATTACACTATTTGACTTAAATACGAATTTAAAAAAATACAGTCGGTCCCTTGAATCGCTGCCAAATAATATGATTCTTGTGAAATGTGTATTATGTTATATTTTATTTACTACTAGCTGACCCGCGCAACTTCGTCTGCGTCTCTCAATAGTAATAAATTTTATCCGTTTTTGAAACATTCTTCATTGGTGCTCCGCTCCTATTGGTCTTAGCGTGATGATATATATAGCCTTCCTCGATAAATGGGCTATGTAACACTGAAATAATTTTTCAAATCGGAACAGTAGTTCCTGAGATTAGCGCGTTCAAACAAACAAACTCTTCAGCTTTATAATATTAGTAAAGATTAACCAAAGGTGGTTTGACTAGATACGTCAAAAGTACAAACCGTTCCAATCTAAGTCATAAACGAATATATATATATATATATATATATATATATATATATATATATATATATATACGAAAACATATCTATCCGTGATCCGGCCGAGCACGTCAAACCTCGGCACGCATGTGTCGGCTCGACCCGAGTGACACTACGTGCTCACAGAAACCCGGTGTTAAACTATTCTTTCGCTGCAATTCGCCTTAATTTCATTCCTAAGGTTTAGTCGGCGCAATGTGTGTGCAAACTTTGCAAAGAGCCTTACACCAACGCTCCTTGGCAATGGAAACGGGTTCAGACGGGACAATGGAAGAAGGTAAAGAGAGGGACGGACTGTCCGTGTGGTGACGGATTAAGAATACGGAGTGTCACCACCCCTATTCATCCCGTGGGTGTCGTAAGAGCCAGACTAAGGGAGCAAACTACGAAGGAGAACAGCATTGCAAAGAGAAGAAAAACTCGACACAAACCCTATACCATCCCGTCTGGCCAGTTTAGTATAGTAGGCCAAAACTTTTCTAAGGAGAGGCCAATGTCCAGAAGTGGACTATTAAAAGCTGTTGATATGATATGATGATGTGAAAGAGAGGAGGCTAGGGTATGCGACGGTTGTGCCAATTCTCCCTTCTGTCTGAGAAAACATGGACACAGAATCTCGGGATAACGGGAGTAAGATTGCAGTAGCTTGAAAAAGCTAAAGTCATGTACTCGTATCGCCGTCATATGATTGGAGACGCCACTAAGAGAGTGGCATCAAAGTACATTTCATTATCTTTTGAACCGTGAGAGAGCATGCTTCGACACAAATGGGCCGGTTCGACCGGAGTGGTACCACAGACTCTCAGAAAACCGGAGTGAATGAAATTATTGGAAGACTAAAGCCTCATGAGGAGGGTTCCTAAAGAGCGGCACCCACTTAATGTCTCTTGCTTTAGCTGCAGGTATCTATGGGTGGTGTTCACTCACCTACAGAAGTAAAAGTAGTGTTGTTGCATGTGAAATGGTTCACTGTTACTGGTATGTTAAGTGTGTCAGGTTACAGACCTCAGGGGAAGGGCACTCAAAGACTGCCAACTAAAAAAACGGAATAATTAATTGTAAGTCTAATTCGCGTCTTAAAATCCAAAATTATATTTCCGTTTCTACTTACGTCAAGTAGGTAAATATTAAAGTAATGTATAGTTTGATTTATTAACATGTATTATGTTGGAGTCCTTGCGAATATAATAATAAATACATTATAACGTAACACATATGTTCGACCAAGTGGAGCTCTAGGATGTTTTTTATCATCTTTGTGGTAGTAGACGAAACGTTCAACTGAGTGAATAATGTTTCATACTAAAGTTTTTTTCTTTTATTACTCCAGACACCATAAAAACTAAATGTGTATGCAAAATTTCAAGTTTTACATCCCAAGTTAAATTAATGCTTAAAAGAGGATGAGCTTTCCTATACATATCTAAAGATAAAGTGAAATAAAAATGAAGTTGAACATAAATCTGGATTCGTGCATTTCACTAAATTTTTCTAATTATTATTTTACTTTTATAAATATGTGTATGTGTATTTATAAGTAAATAATACCTTGTTACTAAAGAAATACTTTTATACCACCCGAAGCTTTTTATCTTAATTAAAAATAAAAATATTTTTAGTACAGTTTGCGTTTAAAACGTTTTTGATATAGCATTTTTTTTTAATTTTTTAATTTTGCATTGTCATCGGTTAAAACGTGTGCATTTTTTTAAGCTAATCATTTAAAATTTGATAAAAACTACATTACTAATATATGGATACATATGTAGATAGACAAGTCAAGATAATAAACCGTGTGAAAAAGGTTTGCAGTCAGAAATAAACAAGCAGGAGCTGAGTGGCGACTAGCGTCGACCTTGAAAGTGGATCGCGCTTTGTGGGTCGCACACGTGCTCATCTATTGTATCTTTCACGATCAATATGATTAACACGCCTTTTTAAGCTATGTAATAACGAATCATTATTATCTAGTTTGACCCAGAAGCGATTCTTGGGATTACGTCCTTATTTGCGAAAAAAAAGCTATTCAATTAATTATTATATTCGTCTTGATGCACATGCACAAAATTCTTGACTTGTGATTTAAATAGATACCACATACTTATTAAATTCATTGGTTTAAAAGGGAGTTTGGCGGAAAAGGAATAAACTACAGTGAAATCAATTAACGCTTGTTCCTAAACGTTGATATATGGTGTTAATATTTTTATGATATATAAAAAAACCTGTGGGCAACAATAGGTTTATAACGAACCCCCCTGCTTCTATTCTACGTTTGATTATTTAACTGTATTTGAGTAATACACACACACACAAAATCATAGGCCCGCTTGTATGTAAATATATAGGTAGATATATATCTATGTAGACAACTATATAAGTAAGTTTTGTATGGTAGCGAGTGACCTTTCGACCACGTTTTGTGATCACATGCCGACACAGACAACCTTGAATTTAAAGAACTGTTCCTTTATAATTATAACTCCTTCTGGAGTTCTGGACCTCACGTTGTCCGGGTCCTGCTTCACGTTTGTTTTTGAAAAGAGAACAAATACGTCATAGTTACCATAAGTATTTTAAATCATTTACTTTTATATACTTTTATATATCATTTACTTATAATATGTCTAGATGACACTATTCATACTAAAAAATACTGGCCAAGTGCGAGTCGGACTCGAAAGGGTCCCGTACAATCTATATACATATATATTATATATATATAAGAGATTTCCACGTATATAGTCACTCATCACGATATCTCTGGAACCATTACAGCTAAAGACTTGAAATTTGGTAGGAATATTCTTTTCACCGAGTAGAGGTCAGCTAAGAACGGATTTTAAGAAATTAAAAAAATAATAATTTAATAATGTAAATAGCAAAACAACGTTTGCAGGGTCAGCTAGTTATCTATAAAAGCGGCAAAAAATCATGTCTGTTGTATGGGAGCCCCACCTAAATATTTATTTTATTCTGTTCTTAGTATTTGTTGTTATAGCGGCAACAGAAATATATCTTCTGTGAAAATTTCAACTGTCTATCACGGTTCATGAGATACAGCCTGGTGACAGACGGACAGACAGACAGACGGACGGACAGCGGAGGCTTAGTGATAGGGTTCCGTTTTACCCTTTGAGTACAGAACACTAAAAATAAAAATATGGGCCCTACTTTATTATGCTGTTGTACGTGCAAATTAAGGGCTAATAGTAGTAGTAGCTACAACACAGCTGGCGCATAGCGGAAAGGAACTTAGTGGCCAATCGTTGGACGCTATTTTTCGACCGTAGTTCAATCCCTTACCCCACTACTATCTCGTAGTTAGTATTCTGTGTTTATTCTAAACTTTTTTTTCAGTTACAATTCAAACGACGGGTTCGGCCGCGTTGGGGGTGACCAGCTCAATTTTGCTGCACCATCGGAGGACGAGGCCGAGTACCCTACTGGCGCCTATCTCAAGAAGGCGAAGGTCTCAAGGGCAAGTTATTACTGAATATGCCCAATTTTTATTTTTTACTTGTACACACTACATATCCATATTACACTACTCAAAACTGACATACCTGCTTGCGGGTTTGATTCCTGCCTTACTATTTCTTTTATAAAGTTACAGGCGTAGTAACGTAATAATTAGACTGCACGGATGGCGTAGTGGTTTAAGCGGTCGCCACGCCGCTCACTACTACGCTGAGTGTTGTGGTTCCAATCCCCACATGGGACGACACTTTGTGTGATCAACAAATTGTTGTTCTGAGTCTGGGTGTTCTTTGTGTCCATTTCATGTATGTTTGTAAAGTCCCCCGCGACACAGGATATATTTTAAAGAAAAAAAAATAAAGAGATAACAATAAACAAACAAAGAATTAAATTATTAAATAAATAAAAAGTATTTTTAAAGTACTACAAAATTATTTTTACAAAGTTCATACAGATATTATTCAATTCATATTTCAATTTAACAGGAAGTCTTGCCAGAACTAGGTACACTTTATTTTTTATTAAATTAAACTTGTCAAATGTGTTAACCTCCTTGTTCAATAAACAGCAAGACCCGATGTCGCACCGCATCATTGAGAAACGTCGACGGGACCGCATGAACAACTGTTTGGCGGATCTGTCGCGACTCATCCCTCCGGAGTATCTCAAGAAGGGACGCGGACGTGTCGAGAAGACCGAAATTATAGAGATGGCCATCCGCCATCTTAAATTTCTCCAGGATCGAGCTAACGGTATGTAGAGAGACTAAAGAGTCATACACTTTTTTAGTCGATACAATTTAAGATTTGGTGCATGTTCCCGTTGAGCTCCAACTTGGTTCTGGTTGTAATAACTTTAGATACAAAATTAGAAGCACACAGTTATTGACGAGATTTTACAACAGTAAAATAAATTTGCGTTGTAGAAATACATACATTACAATAAAATATTACAATCCGAATCAATTTAACTAATAAACTGAAGTCAATAAGTAAATAAAATAAATCACATCATTTTCACGAAGGTATTGCATCTAAGTTGATTTAAACATAGACTTTTTTTTTATTTATACCATTTACATCACAGATAGACCAAACAATAATGCAAGACTTACAATAAAAACAAACATAAAATTAAAAACTAGAGCAAGTCAGTGCGCAATATATGGCCTTTGAACATATCAGACAGCTCCGACACCGCATTGAGAGCACGCAGCGCGCGCGTAAACGCGTAAATTCAATATAAAAAAAAAAACACACTACTTATTATTTTTCTGTATTAAACCATTTTTATATATAGCAATACAAAGTTCATGACCCGTTTTAAACTAGTGACAAAAAAAAAATAGAAAACTTGAATTTGTCGTGACTTTAAATGACATAGTTCTTTTCTACTTTCAAATGTTTTAAGATTGATGTTAAAATACAGAAAAAGAGACCTAAAGTACTAATTTCTTTGTTAGTATTCCTACATGATCTGTGAATGTTTAAAGTAACGCTAAGTTTTGCAAGAGCATTTTGTAAGCCTGTCCTGAACTAAAACAAAATCTACGGATAGGAATCATTCTTTACTTTACCGGTCCTCTTTACATTTTCATGCGTACTTCTTTTATATACTACTACTGATAGGTACTATCAGTACAAACACAACAGTACAGAGTATATTGATTAATAAACATTTCATTGATGTCTGTAGCAAATGTCTACGTCAGTCTGGAACTCACGTTTTTAATTTTTGAAGTAAACAAATAATTATTGCTGAGATTTAGATTTCGCATTGCAAAACAGACGTCACGAACACATCCACGAGTAGTAATTTATAATTAATTTGACGTCATTGCTTATTGGACGATTAGGTACATAGGATTTTTTTTAACTTAGTGATCTTGTTACATTCATTCTAGAAATATTTATGTAGGATATTTTGTAAGTATTTAAGACACACACATATACACAAATATATGTATAGATACGTACTCTGTATTGCAAGGCACACACACATATACACAAATATATGTATAGATACGTAGGTACTCTTTATTGCAAACCATGAATAGGAAACATACAGTGTAGAATACGAAAATAAATATTGTAGAATAATGGACGGCCTTATCGCAGTCTGCGATCTCTTACAGACAACCTTTAGATGAACTTTAGAGGAAAATAAGTAGCGCCTGTTGGTTTAGTATTTAGTGACCCTGACTGCTAAGCCAGAGGACCTCGGTTCGATTCCCACCCAGGACAAGTAATTGTGTGATAATTTTGGGTGTATTTTTCTAAAATATGTATGTATTTAGAAATATATAACTATGTTCATCAGCATTCTGGTTACCATAGTATAGGCTTTGTCTAATTTGAGATCCGTCGGCCGTTTGTGGGGTTATTATTAATATTATGTAGTTGGTGGTGCACATTACAATAGACATATAACAAAGAGTTCCAAAACAGAGGGAGAAAAAAATTGAACAGAATTCCCTATATATTTACGTTATAATACATATTAAGTAAGTACATTCCTGTCATCACTTCACAAGGGAACTCTATTCAATTTTTTAAATGTGGAACACCTTTCCCCTCGCTTTTCTGTAATGGTACTGTAATGTTTCTATGGTACGGATGTCGTGAAAAGGAACGAAAGTCCGTAACAGGAAGCCGGGCAAGCGAGCGCTATTTGATTTGGCCAATGAGGGCGCGCGGTGCTAGAGTTGGCCGCGCTTTTTGACCAATGAAAGCTCTCGATGCTAAAGTTTGCCGTCAAATGGTAGGTGAGATGTCAGATATTATCATATTGCGACTAGTGCGAGGAGATTCTTTTTGGTATTAGCGTTTTTGTATACTTTACATTAATTCGTCTTATATGTATATTTTACGGGTGACTGCAATACAGGAACAAAAATAATTATTTAAATATTTTCTACTTAAACCAACGAGTATTATAACACAGGTCTTTTTTGTTCTTTAGTAGGTACATGAATTCAAACTTTTAGTTTATTTCCATTTGTATTTGTTGTCTCATCTTGTTTTCTTTGTACTGACATCATTGATATAATACTTACATAGATGAGTAATTACCGCCTAAAATCGTTGCTACTGCACATATGTCCACAGGCATATGCGTAGCAAACGTCAATTCATTATTCAATGTGGCGTCAACCGAGTTGAACATAGCGACACATGACAGTAACAATCGCCAAAATGGCTAAATGCGTAGTGAAAGAATGCGATTCAAGGTCACAAAACATTAATAAATCATGCGGAATTACTTTTCACGTGTAAGTTTATGGTTTTTGTATTGATAATATCGTAAATAAGGCTATAATTGAAATAAAACACTGATAATTGTAATTTAGAATCAGTGTTACCATTAAAAATCATTTTGGTTTTCCCACATTAGTGGGAGAATTTATAATTTATGAAATAATATGCTTTATACTGTTTTTAAACATTTTGCCAATAATAATAAAATATAGGAAGAACGGTAGTTGTTAGGGCTGGACCGATTACTTTTTTTAGGGACCCGTTGAACGTTCACTGCGCGCTTGGCAGAAGTGCCAAGCTCGCAGTGCTGGAGACTTTTGTACAAAAAATTAATTCATTGTTTTTCTTAATTTATTATCAATTTTAAATAATAATTGTACAAAATAATAATAATAATAATAATAAATGTTTATCATAAAAATAAAAATATAAAATAAAAAAGTAAATAAACATGAATATTTTTTTTTATAAAATATATTTTTTTTTTTTAAATTTGTTTTTTAAATTATAATAGAATTTGCAATACATACACCCTGGGGATTATTTATTATCAGTACAAGTTGATCATTCACTTTTATTATTAAATGCTATTATTTTTACATACGTAAAAATAAGATTGTATAATGAAAGTAAAATATCCACACAAACTTATAAAAAAGAGTCTAAAAGACAATTGTATACAAAAATGATGCTTCACAGCGCAGTTTGATTTTACACTGAATATAAACCCTTTTAACCAAATATTTCCAGTTATTTTATTATTTATACCTATTCTATTCAATTCGAAATATATTATTTAGAATATTTAAATTAATTTATTTTATTACAAAATTGTTTTAAAAAAAAATTGTTTCTTAGTTGTTATGGGTAAAATTTCATACGGTAGTCAACACTGGCCCACCATCGTAAAGTTATATCTTTGTCTTTGTCTAATCCGAGCGATGGTATTGTTCTTGTCTCGCGTGTAAATGAGACATAAATATGTTTACTTTCAAATGTTTAGTGGTATCAAAGCTACGTCGTCAAAGTTCAAAAGTGGTTACACTTTTTTCGACGTGTTATAATGAGGTTTGCTTCTCTAGTGTTGTTTTAACTCAATGACTGACATACAAACTAAAAAAATATATATCCGTGATGTCATTCATCCGTTCAAGTCCGTTCGTTATATTCAACTTCTGACCCTGTCCTCAACATTAGGACTCCTTCACATTACCGAGGCTTACATGTAAAAATGCTCTGATAAACTTAACAGAAGAACGCTAATGTTGTTGAAAGTGCCAAACGGAAAATGTTACATCTTCGTGTGGGTTATGTTTTAGCTGCTGATCGCCAGCTCGGCGAAGACCACTTTAGGGCCGGTTATCAGGATGCGGTCTCCGAAGTTCTGAGGTTCCTAGTCGAAGTACAGGGCTACGGTCCTGGTGATGGACTCTGCGTGCAACTTGCTGCGCATATGCAACGACACTGTGAAGCTGTAGCTAAAGGTAGGTAAATAAGCAAACCAAAACACTTAGACATATATTTAGTAAAAAAATATTTTAAAATAGGTATATATAGTTCAACTTAGTTGTGCGCGCGGCCCTTCGTTTCGTGTGGCAGTGACGCGGCAGTCGGACGACGACTGCCACACGAATGAAAGTTGTATATTTACAAGCCCACGCACACATCGGGCCGCGCGCACAACTGAATTGAACTATCTATAACATAATTCACTGAAATCAAATAAGACCTACGAACAGTTTTAAACTAGGAATGTTGAAAAATCTGATTATTCTGAATGCACCAAGGCACCGTTCTCTGTAACATATTTTTTGTGCAGTATAAAATCAAATTAATGAAATGAAATTTATTTATGAGATACTTTATGCTAGTACTTTGCGTTAAAGTTGAATTTGTTTTTAGGCGAGCCTGTACCCCGCGAAAAGACGCGCTCGCACCCCGGTTCATCATCAGAGACGGCGAGTTCGTCAAGCAGCTCGCATGGTTACGCTTTGAAGTCGAGCGTGATCGCGCAGGCGCCGCCGCCAGCGCCTCCCCCCTTTGTTACCGAACCTTACGAGGAACAGCCGCAGGACCAGCCGTACCATATAGAGTGTGAAAGAGGTAAGTTTAAAGAGAAACGTTTTTAAACCTTCTAGCTTCATTAAGTCTTTCTTTTAAGTCAGAAATCACAGACAAATTATTAATCTCACAAACCATGTTACAGTACTTTATCAAGTCCTCTTAGGGCATTTTCGTGTACATATCTGAGCTTCTCGGTCTGATCTTTTCAGTATTAGCCCCACAAGCAGCTATAACAGAGGGCGACCCCTTGAATGAGGCGGAGCCCCTCCCGTTAGACGGACGAAGGAGGAGGGAGCCCACACTACGCACTGTAAGAAAACCAGAACACACCGAAGACTACCTACATTCGTATAAGTTCAAGAATTCCATTGAAAGGCGATTTTCCAAGTCACAGGATACAGAGGTAACTATAACATAAAATTAAAACGTTAATAATTAAGATATATTATCATAAATTTCATCCGAACCTTCTTTTCAAACTTTGGGGTCGGCTTTAAGTCTAGTACGATACACCTGAACTTAGTGGCTTAAGTATCTCATAGCACCAAGACAGCCACTAACTTAGCCAAGTTAGTGGCTGTCTTGGTGCTATGAGATACTCATCACTGACAGCGAATCGGTTTGCTACTGTGATAATTATTATGGCAACTATTCGAAGTGTTCGTGTGATGATGAGGATCTCATAAAACCTTATCTGTTGTATCAGCTAAGGAACAATCTGCCTTCAGCACTTTCGATTTTAAGGAATTAGAGATCTCGGTTATAGTGGAACATTTTATCACAGGCGGCGGATATGTTGGCGCGTACCGCGCACGCTCACGGGAAACTGTACTCGCACAAGCGGCGCCGCGCCACCAAGCCTGCGCCCTCCGCCTCCACCTCCACCTCGGGCTCCACTGAGGAGGCGCGGGACACATCGCCCCAGGTATACGATCCTCCTATACTGCATCTCATGCCTTACGTGACCTACCTAATTTAATACGAATTAAATTATGAACGATGATACTGAGATTTAAAATGTAAAAAGTCAAAAAATATTAAATAAAAATATTTTTCTACCAGGATACATCGAGCGAGTCTCCTCGACATCACCACTACGACAAGCCGCCCCTTCCAACCCAATACGTACCTGTATTTGCCCTAAATGCCCTCGGTAAGTTAAAAGACGTGTAGCTCTTTAATTTATTGTATATATTACATTCGGTAACGGGCGGTTTAAATGCATCGGGATAAAAAAAACAGCTGGCTTGAAATACAACCATATCATAAAGTGGTGGACCCTATCATAAAATTGACAATTCTATGATCTTAGAGCGGTTTCGCACTACGTCCGATCCGAATTCCTGAAAATACGGTCTGGGTAGTCGTAGTATTATTTCTATGGTAGCTTACGCACTAGATGTGACTTCCGTTATCCGTTAATCTCCAAGCAAAGTAGCCACACTATTATATTTGTATGAACGCACCCAGAAATTTACTTGTGTCGTTCGTACGTACAATAGCATTGCAGAAGGTGGCGCCGATCGAAAGGACTCATGATCAACGACGTGAACGCTCTGCTGTGGCGACGCGTAAAATGATATATGCTAAAAGGTGACTCCTAAATTGCTTAGATTAGAATCAGAGATCGCAATAGTGCGTAAACAATATAAGATTTCAGTCACTCTGCCTTCCAAATCCATAATCACAATGTCAATTACCATTTTGTGAGGGCGCAGTGGTAGCGTGTGCGACTGCTGTGCTGAGGTCTCGGGTTTGATTCCCGGGTTGGACCAAATGTTTGTATGATATGCAAATATATTATTCGGAGTTTGTGTTTTCTATGTATAATATGTATGTATTTACAAAAAAACCTTTATAAGTATTCTATTAGTCAATCTAACCTTCATAGTACAAGCTCTGCTTAGTTTGAAACTAGATCGCTTTGTGTGTCAGATGTCCGAAAAAATGTCTTTGTGTCTTTTGTACTAAGGTGTAATAAATTAGGTTATGGCATCATTTAGTCCAGGCCACTGCAATACCTGTGTACCTGTACATTTATATATATATATATATATTTATATATATATATATTTAATTCAAGGCTGTTGTTTAACGTCACGTTGTTCATTTTCAGGAAAATACTACGTCCCGTTAAGCGTGGACTACGCATGTCTTGCGAAACACCTTGGACCTTACGACGTTCTCGATGCGAGAGCTGTTCAGCTCGCAGCGCCATTACACCCAGTCACGATCCACGTGAACTTTCAACCGTGTCTCAACTACCACGTCAAACGTGAACCCAGCGACCGTCAATGGCGAGGTGTAAATTAATAAACTCGTACCCAGTGCATAATATGAAAAAAAGTCAAACGCCATTTTGAATAACATAATCGGCGCTAATTTAATTTATTATAAATAAGACAGCATTTAAAATAATATGAGACTTACAATAGCAAAGCGATTGTTTGTCTTATACTCGTATAGTGTATTTTTATAAAGAAATCGCCTGAACATTTTTTGAGATTATTCTTTCAGAAAAAAAAGAGTATAATTTTGATTATATGTACAGATTGTTAAAGAAAGTGTGGTCAAATTTATGATCGTTTAGTGAACATTCAAGATTTTAGAGAAAATGTATAAGTAAAGCTCAAAGTATGAGAGAGAGAACTGACATAAGAAACAAATTCCATTTGTATTAATTACAAATGAGGATGTAGATTTAGGCTCTTCTGAATGCATAAATATAAAGAAACAAATTCATAAAAGTTTAGTACCGTTGCCTGAAAAAATATATTTTCAAGGTAACTTAACTGTCGGCTATACAACGCGAATAAAATTTGAGCACATCTTTTTATAACAACTGTATACCTAATACTTCTAACTCGCAAAGTGACACTTGGAAATTAAGCAGCAGAGCTGTAACTACCGACATTCAATTATTAAATTCAGATTATTTACTCCACTTGTATTCAAGGTTCACATTTACCCTCGATGCGTCACTCTTTTTTTAACGCTATATAGTTATTGCTAAAAATTATGACAGCTCCTGCTGTCATTACAGTCACCGGTAGTCTTACCGATTTTGATAACTTTTACCTCCATTTAAATACTTATGTAAGAAAAATCTCTTCTCGGAAGTATCAATGCTCTGCTGAATAAAATAATTGACTACACTATTAAAATTTGTCCCAAGATCTTCAAAATTTAAGGCTTTTCGAACCAAATATTGCGGATTTATTATGAAAATTATTTTTTGGCAGTTCTAGTCAAATGCAAGTCAAACGAGTTTTATAATGTACATTAGACATTGAACAAAGAAATGTTAAATACATAACGAAAAGTACGCCTAATCGACTTTTTAGTAAAGCGTGAAAGACATTTCGTCGTTATAAATTAAAGCACTAATTTCTATGAAAACTCGATAAGCCTTTTTGGTTGAATTTAATACCGGAGTTAAGTGATGAACACTAGGTGTGGACATTTTCAGTGTTTTTAATTACTGGCTGTGATATATCGTAGTCAAGCAACTACTGAGGTGCAATATCAAGTGAAATTTTGGAAACTATATTGAAAACTCCAGTACAGTGTGTACTATCAATATGACACATTTGGCGGTCGATTGTAGTGTTACTTTTATTTATTCAGCGTAAAGTGCTGAATTTACCGTGAGAATGCAGACTTAATCCTATACAAGTGATAATCCACCTCAGAAAGCAGACTACTATTTTTATTATACCTAATTTGAAACATTATTTGTAAGTTGAAAAAGGCCAAAAGTACTATTGAAAGACAGTACATTTCCCACCAAATTTCTACGGCCTAAACATGCCTGTTTCGATTCTTGCGTGAAACGAAATACGCTATGTGAAGCTGGTGGATATTATTTTCGTTTTTATTTTTTAATATTGTTGAAGGTAATGGTAGATTGAAATTGATAAGGTGTGGTTGTCCATGTGTGGGCAAGATAAAGACTGAGGTTTTTATTTACATAGAAGTATAGTTACGATTGTTTTGGCATTGGATTCTCACCTATAAAGCAGCTGAAGGACGGTTTCATAGTAGCCGATGTGCGAAGAATATACTATCGCCTGGACTTTATCATCGGTTAATAAAACCCAGTTAAATGTTGTGTTGATGGCAGGTAAGGATTCAATGTGTATAAAGTGTCAAATTTTACGTAAAGTTAGCTCATAGAAACAGTTTAAATTAACCTGTTAAATGTATACATTGTATTTTGTAAATAAATATGTTTAAGAAATAAATGTTAAATATTTTATGAAATCATGTGTATAATTTTATTGGTTTTAGGGGTTCAGGATTAAAAGGAAAGGCTCTACATTCAAACGGAGATTTTATGTAATTAATTATCATAACATCTTTTATTCTCTAGTATTATTTTTAATTTTACATGCTTAGTTCAAACATTGAGAAGGAAATAATAATATTTAACATCTGGATAATATACAGCTTTCTCTATTTTTACGATCTCTTAGTGTTAAAAAATTATATTAATATATATGTATATATAAATATATATTGCAAAATATTCCATTGTTATCACGAATACGGTACACAAAAATATCCAGGGAGGAGTGGGATATATCCAAGGTGGGTGCGATCACAAGGGAGTCAGAGTTACCAATTAACTAGGTTCATAATATGGCAAACGATAGAGAGTGCGCTTTTTGTTCACCATAACAAAATATAGCTTTCACTTATCAATAACTATTATAATATATATACACAGACGCATTTCTAAGGATCGATATAATTAAATTTTTTATCACAAAGATTTTCATCTAATATACTACAGAAATATTAAAATGTCGGAGTATGTTTTATGTCAAGAGTAGTAAATATATACAGGGGGCTACCATTAATTGGGGCTGCCATAGCTTAAACATTAAACTACCGAACTTATGCAGACCAAAATTATGCATTTTGAGAGCGACTTTTTTCATTGCTATTACAATCTATTGAATCGGACAGTGATTATCGTGAAGGAAGTTAACAAAAAACATACTCCAACAAAGGTATTCAGCAATAAATTTACAGTTTATTAAAACCAGATCGAAATATTTACAAATCTATATGTCAAGAGACCGACATTGTCGTGCTGCAAACATGCGCTATTCTACAATTGATTCATTAGAAAAAAATCGTAAAAAATGTTCCTACAATCGCTTTTATATAATACAAAAATAATAAAATTGTGGATTAAATAAAGCCGTTTAAAATATACTTTTTCTGTGAACTAATAACTATCTGTAATTTCGCCTTCTAGGCACATTTTATTGCAACGTATTTGACTATTATCTAAATTACGATTATGCATAGAACATAAGTTTTAAGTGGCCAGGTGTGAGCGTCCCTACCTTGTGGTTACGCAAAGTATATTGCAACTATTTAGTTCAATCCAAATGGCTGCACGATAAAAGGAATAAAAACAATTCATACAATTAAATTGAAATGACAATCCGATATGTACTTATAATACAAACACAGTTCTATATAAATCATATGAAAGGAGCAGCCCTGGGGGTATAATTGACACGCTATAAACAAAGATGTCACATTACCTAAGTTTCACATGTTCATTGCAAAAAGCACACAATCTAATTAAACGGAAGGATGCCTACTAAAGACAGGTAACTTGATGTTACTTTAGACACTGGGCATAAATTAAACGTAGTTTCACTACATAAAGTAATTGTATTACATTATTCTAAATTGCAAAGGTGTGTTATATAAATGGGCCGCATATACATTTTTAAGCTTCGATAAAACCGAGTAAGGAATACTTATTGCCACTAGTACAATGTACTCAAACACGTCTAAAAAGATGTATTTGAACTTGCTTCAAAATAAATCATGTGTCTATATATCTTCATCAAATATTGACATTGTAATCGCCAATCACAAATGTAGAATAAATAAACAATCATTACACATTAGCTTAATATGTCCTTGTTAGTCAAACCCCTCATTCATAAATATTTTATAGCAGTACACTTAGGTATAGCATTGAACAAGTGTGAAACAAGATTAAAATACTTGAACTAACAACTTCGACACATGTCAATATAGGCAAAAGATAAGCCACTCTCATTTTTTTATGAATAAAGGGTTTACCGTGTCGTGCTGTCATTTAGTTGTATCCATTATAAAAACATGGAAAAGACCTAATTTTATGTTTCTGTAGGCCTTTTTACGACTATCCTGTCAATTACTATTGATTTTAAGGCAATGACGAAGTCACCTAGACATAATACTAATAATTTTTCATCACATAACCTAGAATGGCTATGTGATGTGACACACAAAAATTAATAAAAAATCCATTCGTTACCTAGTAAAAAAGTTCTAGCGAAAATCTAGAATAAAAGCATTTTGAAGCTTCAGGATTCCAGTTTTTGGCGCCTTAAGCAAAAAAATTAAAAGCCACCGTTTCTATGCAATGCAATCCTAGGAAAGAACGCAAAAAAAAGGTTCTTTTACGTTCAAATTCAGATATCTCGGCGAAAAACAAACGTAGCAAAGATCAAAAATCTAAACTGAGTGAAAAGGCTATCTGGCCCTAACCGAAAAAAAAACCCGCGGCCGCGGAGCAAGAAAAATATACCTAAAATATCTAAAAACTGTCCCATCTAAGTTATTTTTGGTCTAAAATTCCAAAAACTCAAAAAAAAAAGAAGCTTCACGATTCTATCGCCGAGCTTAATTTTTTAGAATGCCTTTTAGATTTTTAATACAACCATTTTTTACTAAGTAAGAGCCCGTCAGAAATCGGGCAATATTGGATATATTTTTTTATTAATTTTTGTGAGTAGTGTAGTACGCAACGTAAAATCTGTGCTTAAATATATAATAGAAATTTGACACTACCAATACACAACGTAATTAACCTACCGACGTCAGACGCATAAAACTCCGTCTTGTGTCAGTGCGATGAGCTCGTCATAATGCAACTAAACCTAGGTTCCCTAGACTAAGAGACCTACTTAAATATAACAAACAGAATATTTTGCAAGTAACTGCGTTTTTAGTTCACTGGGTGCTTTTGGGTATACACTATTTTAGCCCGAGGTTACTCACAACATCAATTCGTTGTTATAATAGAAATATAACAGCCAACCGCAGCATAACAATTGTAAAATCATTTTTTAATACACATCACTTTACTCTTATTATTAAGGATTGGTATTGTAAAAAAAATGCTTGTCATATCTATTAAAGATATACGATATACAATTTTGTTGTCAAGAGTCACAAGGTGTGGCCCCGCCTGATCCGAAACCAAGTCGTATAATACTTTATTTGTACATCATAGTTTCGATAGAACATAGATAATAAAACATCATGTAGTTATTTAATTACATTATAGCTACTGCCAGGATAAAATCGTATATTTTTAATAAATTTGAATATAAGGGCCACGATTTGTCGTAGTTTTCGACCCCGCTCACATTAAAAAACTTATTTTTCACTTGAAAGATTAGGTCACTAAATTATAAGAATTAATGTTGAATGAGGATGTTATGTGTATAAAAATAATATGACCCTTTAAAACTAGGCCGTTTAAGATTAAAGGACTAGTTTTAAAAAACAATATGGCACTTTATACTCTATGGACACAAAACCATCATTTAACACAAGTTATTACAATGTATTAGGAATACTTTCACCAAAAAAATATTTCATATTATTAAACGAACTGACATTTAGTGTTCATTTTCGAAGAATCAATCAGCAAACCAAAATAAATAAATTCATTTATTGCAAGATTCGATACGATTTGATAAAACAAACACATAGCATGTAATAGTTTGATATCGTTAGTACCGGTTTTTTATTATTAACTAATATTTTTTCTACCGATATTCTCGTACAGGATACGCTTCTAACAGTAAAGTCTGAAAATGTTTTACTCTTTGAATAGTTGTTCATTACTGAATCATGCTAGCTGTTAAAACAAAAGCCTTCACTACACAATTGATGAAACCAATTCCCATTTATTAAATAATTATTAGAATAATTTTACAATTGCTATGTAATCAATATGTTACAAATGTTACGGGCCAAATTAACTTTCTCTAGTCTGAACACATCAACATCCTCATAAAAAATAATCAAATATACCTCCAAATAAAAAGAATTAACCTTTAAAGCATGTACATAATACACAAGATTATATGTTTCCCTAACAGACAAACAAACATTTGTAACACATCGAAGGTGGCAACGATAAAAATATTTTTTAACAAAACGCACACAACTAAAAAGTGCATATTTATTAGAATAATAATTTTATTGCGTCCAAAATAATTATATATGTAATAAATTAGTACTAATGTGATTGCAATTCATGTCAGTCAAAATTATTTAACTCTTTCATCCGATTGGGATGCAAAAGCCATGCTAAACTAATTATATATAAGCACGAAACAACTTTGCAACTCGGTTGGTTGAAAATATTTAAAACAATGTTAAGTCTAATGTATATTCATAATTACATTTCAACGTTGCAAAGTTGTCTCATGAATATATATTACGGAACACAGCAACCCAGCTGCCACAACAATCGGACCTTGTGATGATGAAGCAAAGACAACATCTTTGCACAAATACGTTCCACTTAAAATATAACACAGATTTAACCTCTAGAAATGGCTAATGCGTATCTGTGTTGAAAAGACTCTAAATTACACGTGAAACTTCTAACACTAACAAGAGACCTAGAACTAGGACGAGCCCTCGGACCCCCTATATACGCTAGAAAAAAAACATAAAACAAATAATAAAAACAACTATAATTTACTTAAACATTATGCGTACAAAATCCTAGTCGTCGTTCCCTAAACGCTGTATCGAATAAATCGATAATAAATAAATATATCAATAGGATACATAAACATTGTACATATATAAAAAATCTTTCATACATTATACATATATACTTTACCGAGCAGGTTTCCTATATTATATCTTAACTCTCCTATATACAATATGTACAAAGGGAAATAAAAACAATTTGTACTTGCAGAAAACCGTCGAAAATAAAAACTTGACGTAAAACGGAAATATACAATATGCCGGAGGCACGTAACATACACTCATAGAAAATGTTCTTTATACTAATTATTATATAATACAGGCCACGGGCTTCACCCGAATGAGATTTACAAAAATAATGTCTTATGTATGCGCTCTACCTGTCACACCTCGTAGCTCCGCCCACGCCATCTGCCGGACAAACCAATTGCCATGCTTTAGAAATGATACCACGACTTATATATAAAACTAATTTATTCATGCCAACAATACATTCAATATGTACAAAATATATACACATTACCTGATCTCGATTTGGAAGAATAAAATATATTTTTATGCAGTAGAGTATAATTACATATATTAAGTATGGCAATACAAAAAATGCACCATCTATCTACCTATCTAAATTAAATACAAAACAAAGAGTTTCGTACAACCTAACCAATAAATCTTAATTTACTTATACACCCCTCCTTCCCCATTTGAGGCCCTTGGGTCCTGAATTGCTACCATAATTAGCTCCGAAACCAATAGGGCCAAATGGTATATCGCAATCAGATGTGTTAGTTCCGTAGCCTACAAGACCACCGTCGCAAGTGACGACCGCATGCGGTAAAACAGGCACAGCTTCTACCAGCCCCCTCTGTCCTAAGGTTCCTATACTACAGCCCACATCAGCACTACGAGTCCAATAGGCCATACCGGTGTTTTCGGTAGGTGGTCTCGCCTCCTCATCATCAGGCAAGGCGAGTCCGAACTCCCGCCGTAATCGCGAGCTGAGGTTTTCCCGCTGGCGTTCCGTTGCAGTTGGCTGTGCGTCGAACACACCTGCGCAAACAAAACACACAATTGAACAATAATTCGTTACAAAATCCGTGTTCTATTTAAAAAGTAACAAAGTACTGTAAATATTGTTAATTACACTAAGTTTACAATACAACGAACACTGTGGGACAGTTATTTGAGCCAAAAGACTGACATTTAATGAATAAGTCTTTTGGGACGTGTGACACGTGTATTTTAATGTACAATTTACTGTGACCTGACTTTGTACGTTTGATGAGAAACGAAATGAAAATGTTGAAGATTTGTTTAACGGAACACACTCTTTGTGCCGTCTAAAGAACGTATGTCCTTATGTACGTTTATGTCGCCTAATTTCGCTTTATTTCTACTTTAGTGTAGTAGGCCAAAACCTTCTTTCTAAGGAGAGGCCTATGTCCAGCAGTGGACTAGTAAAGGCAGTTGATGTGTACTTTGGTGTACCTATTTGTACTGATTCAAATATCATAAATCCATTTACAGAATAAAACTAACAGTTTACTTCTACTATACTCAGAGTACTTCGAAATATAATAAAGTTCAAACAAAATTAGGCGCTAGATCTATCAGATTCTGAGCTTCTGTCAAAATTATTTTTATTAAACAAAGGTAGTTTCTCTTCCCTTTTTCTTATTTATTTCCGGCCGTGTTATTTTTCGTGGTTTCTTCTAATCAGAAAAATACATGGTAAAAAGTGGTGCGGGACTAACTAACTAACTAACATCTACCGTAAAGAAGACAGTATTTCCAAAAGTATGCCGCCAGATAACTTTCTAGCTAAGGATCCTAACACTAAGGCATCCAATTACAAATATATAATTGTAATTATACTACCATATTATCATAATAATGCATTGATTCAGGTATCTTTTGGTGTTTCTCACCTTATGCATTATAATGTTTATATCCTTATTAATTGCTCACGTAACATTCTATACGTAGCGCTCCGGTATTAATTACTCGTATTTATACGAGACATTTCAGTTATCTTATTATTACATTTTTACAAGTATTAAACCTTTAAAACCGACCACTGGCCTATGGTCCTCAGATCACAATAATTTATTTATTTATTTTATTTTTATTTATTTTACATCTTCATGGACTGGTGTAGGTACATCGGCGGACTTAATGCCCTGGGCATTTTCTACCAGCCAACCTTTAGGTGGTGTAGAAATCTTGTAGGGTAGGTGCACCGAGGTTACAATTGTAATCACTGATTGTAAATGTAAGCATATAAAATTAAACAAAATTCATATATATCAGGTCAGTCTGCAGGTCTAAAACTGACTAATATGTGAACACATTTAAAACCAATGATATAGGAAATATTAACACATCTGATGTGTGTAAATATTAAGATTTCATTAAGATTTTCAATCTTAATACAGTGTATACATTCGAATACATTCCATAATAAATATTGCGACAGCATAAGCGCCATGTTATTTTAAGTATTGTTGCTCAATCACCTAGCCTCGATTTAGAAAGGTAGCTAACGATTCTATCAATAACAAAACTAAAGATTTAACCAATAACTGTTTAAAGCTACAACGTTCCAAAAACATTAAACTACACACATAAAACACGACGAAATCGTATACGGCTTCTAGCTTACATGAGTCTAAAAATAATCTATACATGTACTCACAAACCAATTTAGAGCAATTACACGAGGCTATTGGATACTATACAACTATAAAATGGATATTACGATTATCTCATCTCTCGGTAGTATGTGGCATAAAGCATTAAAGACCTCGTATGAAAATGTTTGAATTCTCAATTCTGCGACGCAGTTATGTTTATACGTAGTCAAGGTCGTGGCGGTAATGATTTTAGCGAACACTTCGTACTTTTATGCAGGCTTAGTGTTTTTGCTGCGTTTCAATTTTAAAACAAATTCATACTTAACATGCAAATTCTTAAGTAGGGTTTTATTATTGAATCCAAGTTGCTGTATATATATATATATATATATCTAATCGAGGTAGGCTATGAGGAATATGTTAGAAAAATGTATAAATTTATTTAATACCATAGCATGATACATCTTAAAGTTCTCAACTAGTAACATTACGCTGATAAGCGTGGGTCATATTCATTGCATAATGTAGTCGCATTATCTGCTAACACGAGAATAATATTGTACATTATGTATGGTCGTACAATAATACTTCTGTTTGAGTTTATCGTCCCGTAAACAAAAGAAAGTTAATTAAACGACGGGAAACAAAACGTTGAAAATTACAAAGTATTATTACTGTTAGTTTCTATTATAAGTAAGCAAATAGATTACAAAATTTAGAATAGTATAGTGTTATTTAATTCTTGTAATTTCATTCCGCCACAAAAACGACAGCTGTTGGCAAAATAAAAATTGCTGCGCAGTACGACATCAATTACAAATTCGACAGACACGCTTACAAATGTGAACAGCGGAAAATAATGAGGCACCGTCCACACTAATCGAGTGTGAAGAGACGTAAGCGCTAGTGTCTCACTCACATCACCGCAACAATAGAACCAAAATGTGCGCGTGCAGTGCTTGTGGCTTCAAGAATTTTCGCGTACATACATTTTAGTCAATGTGACATGTTGTTTTCGATTTTATTACTTCAGTTCAGAGCATGCATCTAAATATTATTTGTTTTTACATACAGGACTGTAACCTAATTCTGTAAAATAGACATATATTGCAATATCCACATATTTGAAAAGGGAATCTTCATTTTGTTGAAACCATTATTATTCTTATATATGTAGTTGAACAGTAATTTTAAGTTTAAGCATACTATAAATAATCTGCTTTACCAAAAAAACAAAGCTGTATTACATTTTAAAAGGAGCATTAGTAAATAAGGCCATCAAGACACTTCAACATACCTTTAGGCAGGTGTGAAGCAGCTAGTTCTCGGTGTAGGCGCTGTTCGAGTTCGTCAGCGGCTGCGGCGGCAGCGGCGTCTAGTCGTTGAGGGGACAAGGAACCGGCGCCTGAAGACTCTGATGACCATTCTACCCCTCCTTCCCCAGGAACACCATCCCCTGTTTCACTAGCTTCGTTTACTCCACCCTCTTCGCACGCCACCCCTTTATGCCGCTTACGGTACTCGGTTATAGAGAGCTGTTTAATAAAACAAATTTTAGAAACAATTCTAGTCTCATTAACGAAATTGACCACGAAACGTCAATGACTGCTTGAAATCGGCTAAAAGACAAACTGAAAACATTTTACTTGCAGTTGTTGTTAACAAATTTTCTAAAACCCACCTGCATCCATAAATAGTGCATTAATCTATGTTCAAAACCATGTGTTAAAATTTATTGCTGAATACAGTAAATAAAAATCGTGATTCACAATTAATTTGCTTTGAAACGAAACATATCACCAACCTGCGTTAATCTTAAATTTACACATACTCTTTTCCGAAACTCTAGCTATATAATTTGATTTAAGATAACGCATATACAAAAAAATTTTGAGAGACTTCCCCAAGTTTGTTGTCAAATAGTTGTCTGTTATAGCATAAAATATCCTATTCTGTTTTTTTTTTCTTTAAAAAGACAGCTCCCGCATTAGGAATATATTCTGTGTAGCGGGAGACTTTACAAACACACATGACATGGACACAAAGAACACCCAGACTCAGAACAACAATTTGTGGATCACACAAAGTGTCGTCCCATGTGGGGATTGGACCCACAACAGTCAGCGTAGTAGTGAGCGGATAAACCACTAAGTAATCCGTGCAGTCAAATTAAATTAAACTAGATTTATAGATAAGTATCCAATGCACCACTTGAAGGTTAGAAGTGAGTACCTACATGTAAATCACACATCAACAAGCAACCTTATCTAATCAAGACCTTGGGTCTTCTATAATTTAGTTTGTTACACATTTTTCGCAACATTATTATTGTTCATTAACACAAACCAAAAATTTAAATTAACTAATCTAAATATAATTCATTAATCAATTTATTAAACTGGTAATACTAATATTTCCCTTTTATGAGTGGTTAGCTTAGTATTAGGTTAGGTTTTTATATATGTTAATCCTTGCAGCTAAGAGGATTATTAAAATGGTGTGATACAATCTACTTTACATCATAACCTACATATTTTTAAACATTGAAGGTACAATGTATAATTTTTAGTAGTAGTTAGGTATGATATGCTAAAACAATAATTATAAGTAGTGAAATAAAATGGGTGTTTAATAAATACACTCACCTTCCTTCGAACTGGTTTAGGTTTTTCAACAGGCGGAGGATTCAGTCTGGGGTCATTGGTGCGTGGACAATACGGTTTGCTCACCGGCTTTGGAGACGGCGTCAGCAAGCTTGATTTGTTTGAACTACTCAACACCCCCGATAATATAACACTGTTATTTGAGTCCATACTGTTCACTCGCGTTAAAATAGCTTCAACACTCTTAAACTCGTCAGCTGGCGTTATACTGTCCTTCTCAAATAAACTATTATCTATTGTTGTAGTCCTATCTATTGCACTCTTTATTATTGACATGTTTGGTACGTTTTCGTTTATTGTTTTGTCCATACTGAACGATTGAGACATGTTGCTGAAAATTCCCGAGAATAAACCTGTTGAACTAAAACGCGAAGAGAACGTTGAATTCTCTAACACGGACGGCCTGTCGACTGAGAAAGATTTCTCTACTTTTTCCACAACGGGAGAAATCGGTCTTACAGTTTTGATTGGTTTCATTGGTTCTTCTGGGAGTGGGATGGTTTCTGGGGGCGGAACCATGGTCATCGGACTCGGTTCTTCCGGTAACGGTATGTTCTCTGGAGCCAGTAACGGTATCGACTCTACTGGTGGGAGAGGTATATTCTCTGGAGACACATGTAGTTTCATATCTTCGTGAATAGAATTGCTCATTTCATCGTGAATGTCTCCATTAACTTCTACTGTTTTCGAATTCGTATCTTCTGTCCTCAATTGAATACTGATTTGATCATCAACCATGTTCAGATCAAAGTTTAAATTAACTTTTTTTCTTTTCTCTTTAGGTGGCTTTTTATTTCTGCTTTTTAGTATCAGTATGTTTTCTGTATGAAATGAATGTATTTTCTTCTGAATGTCATCCATTTCGTCTCTTTGAGGCGAAGAGTTGCCGCTCGTATCAGCAGACTGGCAGCTATTTAGTTTCTCACTCGGGCTCTCAATACCCTTCGGGTCACTACTACTAATAATGAAAGATTCTTGTATTTTTGACGCGGTTGGTATCGTGGTGTCAATCTCCATCGGTACCACCTTATTATAGTTGCACTCATCGATTTCAACATTATTGTTATTGCTCTTAATATCATCCGGTTTTGGTATGTCGGGCGGTAGCTCCTCTTCAGGTGTAGGCACTCCTATAATCCTTCTAATGTTTTCACTATCGTGAGGGCCTTTAATGTTCATATTTAGAACTTCGTGATCTATATTGCACTGATCGTCTGATCCTTGGCCGCTGTCTGACCGAGTTCTGTCCCTGCTGTACATACTTTCCATTATATTTCTCGCTTTGTATTGCCCTGCTATTCCTTGTGAGTCATCCTTCACAGGTGAGTCTTCTGATGTTAAAATAGGTGAAGTTTCATCATTACACTGTATTAACAAAATAATATAGTTAGTTACGTCAAGAGCGAATTTCTAAAATCAATTTACAGTATTTTTTTGGTACTTACAGGCACAATAGGATTTTGCTCGCAAGATAAGGATTCTCTTGCTAACCGTCTCTTCTTCAAAGGCGTTACCATTTCGTTGGGTGGTGATTCTGAAACAAATACATCTGATTTTCAGGATAAGAAAGTTATCTTTAAAAAATTAAGTTTTTTATATAAAATATAGTAAAAAATACAAACCTGCTGAGGGTGAGTCGCTCTCTTCACTTATGGCTTGTCGTAACCATCGTTTCTTGGCACTATGTTGCGGGATAACAGGCTGAATCACTTCGGCCACTTCGGTTGTTGGTGTGCTTCTGGTAATTCTTCTCGCCTTCTTTGGAGGTCTATTTCGATCCCTACCTGGTGTTCTAGGTGGAGAGGCTCTGGCATCGTCCTCATGGTAGATATCCTGACCACCGCTCAAATCACCAATCATCGTCGAAGCGACTCTGACTAAACTCTCTAGGGACGGAGCCGACACCAGGGCAGGTCTGTATGGTGATCTATAAGGTGAGGGTGTGCGTTCGGGCGACCGTCCTATCCATTCGGTCGCCATGGTTTTCTTAGTTTTTGGCAATTTAAAGGCAGATTCGACGGAGCCCACAGCCGCCTCTACTAGTAAACACGCTGAACTTAATCCGAGTTCCTAAAACCAAGGTTTCAGTCGTAAATGCATAAGATCAATGGAATATAAAATGAAGTAATTAGGGTAATGATAAGACACACAAGTCGTCATTACCTCGTTGACGCTGTCGCTTCGATCATCAGGCGGCGGAAGCGCACTGTTCCGTCGCAGGGGCGGAGCGCGCGGTGGGGTCAGCGGAGTGAGCGGGGTCATGGGGGTGTGCGGGGTCACCGGCGTATGAGGTGCTTCATCGCCCGACGTCACCATATCGCTGTCGGCAGAGTTAAGGCGCCTTCGGTTCGATTGTGACGTAGTCCGAGCACGGCCTTTGCGTCTGTGGGAAAAATTACTTTCAAATTAAAAAAAATAATTCACGTGCATTGTATTAGTTATTAAGTAATTAACAAGCTTCCCCTATTCTAAGTTTGGTGACAATTTATCTGTAGTTTAGTTATGTTGTAACAAAATATGTCAGTCTACAATATAGTTCACATAAGCAATTTCAAATAAAATCGAGTAGACTAAAATCGCTTGCTTACTTTTTTCTTTTCTTTGACGTGGTGTTGATAACTTCCTCGTCTTCATCTTTTTCGTTTGCGTTAGGATGAGGATCTGACTCCCGCCGCTTTTGTCTTTCTTTGACCTCCTGTTTGCGCTGTTCGGCCTTTTCCATGCGCTCAATTGCCTTCATAATAGCTTCCATCTTACGTTCCTCGCGCGTCTGTAATGGAACCATATTGTTAGAATATGTTCTGTTTCTAATTCCAACTTCACTTTTCTTCGAGTTTGAACTCACCATCTTTCTCTTATCCTTTTCTTTAATCGATGTCTGAATTTTATCTTGTGAGTCATCTGTTTTGTCATCCAAGGAATCCTGGTTAACGCACGTCGTTCGGCTAGACCGAGACGACCTGTCATGGCATGCTGACTTGGCAGACAATTCTCTGGTGACTGGTCTTGCCTCTTCCATGTTTAATGGCTCTTTTAGTTCTTTAAGCTCTCTTTTCAGTTCTTTAAGTTCTCGTGACTCCTTAACATCTTCTTTCTGTTTTTGCTCTTCCACTTTCTCTGGTTTTTCTTCATCAGAAAAGATACTGTCATTTTCTTCTTTTATAACTTTTTCTTCTTCTTTCGGAGAATCTATTTGTTCAGATACGGGTTCCTTACTTTCGGGTGGTGGAGTTGGTGGAGGTGGTGGTATTGGTGAAGGCGGGGGCGATGGTTCCTGTTTGATTGCTTTAAAATTCTGTTCAATGGGTTCAATTTTTTTGCAAAACTCTTGGTCATCATCTATTTCTTCTTTCATTTCTTCTTTTGCTATCAGATCTATTTCAGGTTTCACATCTTCTATTGGTTCTCGCTTAAAAGGCTCGTCAAAGTTTAAAGCCATTATAGCTGATTTGACCGGGGATAGAGGCGGGAATTCATGTTTAATTTGCTGAGGCGACTTTTTCTCGGATTTTATTGACATAAATGGTGTCGAGAATTCCTTGACAGGTGTCGTAATAGTAGGAGTGGGGGGTGGTGAAACTGGTGATGATGAACTAAAACATCTATTTCTACTTCGTTTCTCTCTAGGCGGATAATCAACACTCTTTCGAGGTGGTAATGTGTTTAGTCCGTTCGCTTTGCAGTATTTCGGATTTCCACAAGCACACGGCTGTTTGCTTCCATCGGAATCATGCCCAACAGTAATCTCCGTGTTTGCTTGCACTACTCCAATACTCACTAAGTAAACGTGTAATGCACCCTTAACTACACAATGTTGTAATTCGGCATTAGGTTTACAAGATCTCCGTACAAACCTTGCCTCATTTCCGTACGTTCTTGTGTCTATACATATTTGTGTATTATCTTTAGGTAATCGGTAGAAGAATACAAATGGACCAGGTTTCTGACTGCCAGCTCTTGCAGAATTCTGAAGTTGAGGTCTATGTTGGTTAGACAACATGTATTTGCCTCGTAACTCTATTACTGGAGTGTTTTCTTTTAAATCCTTTGTTGCAATTAAAATCTTCCCACCGGCATGGGGGACAGTTGTACATAAATGCGCGTTCATAACATACGCCATATTTGGCGTATTACCTAATTTACTACTGTATTTCATTATCTTCGCCCTTAGTTCCGGACTGTAATGGTTTGTCACAGCTAATTCATATGAATCCTGGAAATGAGATTGATTTGATAAACCTGAACTATATTTACTTCGATTTAATAATAATTCCTTCTTTCGTTTGACGCGTTTTTCTGCTAGTTTTCTCTTTCCACTCTTTCTTACTACTTCTGGTTTCTTTGGCCGCTTGGGCCCTCGTTTAGGTAACGGTAATGATGGTTGTGGCAGAGGAGGGAGCACTGGAACATTAGAGTTATAAGTTGTTACACATGATCCACTAGTGTTTGTATAGGTAGTGACTGTAAGTAAACGTTTTCTTTTCTGACCAACAATTCGACCGCCTTCCGATGAGTCAGAATCTGAAGCGCCAAGCGCACTCAACTCCTCTCTTTTCCGTAACTGTATAGCTCGGGCGTGACGTCGATCTATTTGTCTTGGCAAACAAAGTTCACACATATATGCATCTGGTATATTCTGCCTGTCAATTCCCATGCAATCAACATGTTGCCATTCCCCACAACGATCACAGCATATCATGTATCCGTCATCGTGTGTGAAATCACAAATGCAACGAGTTTTTCCTTCTTCCTCCCCTTCAGGTGCAGTTTCTGTATCACTGCCACCCCTAGTCTCTTGATGCTTATCTCCATCTATTGAAGATATCACAGATGCAGCATCATCATCAGGTGGTAGAGGTGCTTGCGGCTTGTACGTCGTTGGTGGCATCTGATTAGACGATACAGGTGCTGGAGTACCAATGAGATTAGTAGGTAATGTTAATGCTATTTCATACGAAGCTGTAGACATTATGACTGGTGAATTTCTCTTCAGAGGGCTCATAGGTGATGTGGTAATAGGTGGTGAGACAATAACTGGTGGTGGAGCAGTTGAAACTGGAGTTGGGGGTGTTGTAGGTACAGGTTGCTTTTGAGCAGGTTGGGCATAAGTGTGGTCCAACATCACAAATGCTAAAGGTTGAAATGAGTATCTTCTTAGTTCTTCAGCAAGGTTTGGTCTTTCTTCCATACCAATTATGTCATCTTCTGTCAGTAAAGTAGTCTTGTCACCGCTGGAACAAAAAAAAAATCAATATTAAATGATAGTTATAGATTATGGAATAGGCTTTGTTTCTCACACATTCATACTTACACAACTATCCTCTTTTGATTAATTGGCTTTGTTTCAGCTGGTTCCTCAGGGGTGGGGGGTAAATTTGTAATATTGTGGTTGACTGGTGTAGGACTTGTCTGGAGCATTAGTTTGGGTTGTGATAACGACTGCAAGATCTGTGCAGTTAGTTGTTGGTTTGCTGACACTTGTGATACTGTGGAAATTTGATTATCTGCTGAACCATAAGTCTGTACATAGCGCAAATTAGGCGTCGATCCAGACTGAACGTAATGCGGTCCTTTAGGTAAACTGGTACTGGTAGGTGCAGTTGATAATAGAACCGGCCCACAAGGAGACTGCAATACTAGACGTTCACCTTTCGGAGGAAACTTAGAAAGAGGCAATGGTTGGCTCTTATGTGTAGGACTACCAACTTTCTGAATGATTTTAGAAGCATTTGAGTCAACAACCCCATAATTAGGTTGTTGACTTTTGTATGTTACATTAGAAACTGGCCATGTCTTTCCCTCAGATTTGTTCGTAGACCCAGTCTGTTGTATTATTTTAATTGGTCTTGTTTGATTCTTTTGATTTGAAACTTGGCTTGAACTTTTAGATCCTTTAAATGTATTTACAGATTTTCTTCCTGAATGAACCGACATTTTGTTCGGTCCAGAGACAACACGAGATAATATATGGCATTGTGTGTTGCCAGAGGAGGTAGCAACCATAGCATTTAAGTGAGCACCATTGTTTACCTTATTCAAAGTTTTATTTAAGTTTGTGCTTTTTGTGAATGCATGACTGTATGGTACATTCTTGACAGGACTGCTATTTACAACATTTGGTGAAAGAGTTGAACAACCAATCAATGATTGATTTTTCTGAGGTTTAGCCGAGAGTACAGAGTTGCTGAGTTTGTAGACATGGTTTTTGTGTACTATACACAGATGCTATTTCTTTGCCAGTTATATACTGTGATTGTAAGTAGGATTCTTCGGTATGGCATATGTTGCTTAAAATTTGAACTCTTTAGATGTCTTCGGTCGGCTAATGAAATTAGTCTCAGTGACATATATTTGCTTCGTCTTCTACCAGCCTGGGTCGAATCATTTACATAACTTTCACTAGTAATGATGATCTGTGATAGACCAGCCCTGCGATCTATCTTCATCAACTTTAGTGTCATTTGTAGGAGCACGATGGTAGAAAGTATTGTAGGTAGCCATAGTGTTGGGTTTCCAGTTACATCTTGTACATTTGAATTTGATGTAATATTCCCAACCAGCTGTCATCAACATTACATTGTGAATATCTGAGCGGCCACTTTTGTAACATCTTTGAACAATCGCATGTGCCAATGGTGCTTGTTATAAGGGTTGTAGAGTTTTCAACAATAATTACCATCATTTGAATCTTCATGTTTTCATGTAATATGGGATAAGCTATGCGTCCTACATTATCATATGGCATCTTCTAATCTTACAAGACCAGAGAGTGAATCCACAGAATATCTGATAACCTTTTTCAGCAATGTGGGTATTCTTTCTTTATTACTTTGTGCACAGAATGAATGATTTAGGATTTTTAGAGTCAGGTAGGATCACCTTCAGTGGGAGACAAGGGGAAGCCTTTAAAAAACGGGAGTTTTTAAATTTGTTAATTCAATCTGCTAGTTTTGTCAAATAATTTATATACATTTCAGGAGGTGGTCGGCCGAATCCTATAACAAACAAAGGTATAATATTAAATTTTAGTTAATACCCAAAAAACACATATGTTTTCCATGTAAAAATTTTACTAACTGTAAAAGGTTTTATTTCTATTACATACATTTTTAAAATTTACCCCCATCACAAGAAATGAGTTATACATATTATTTTATCTTTATAGAATTTCAGGCCCTTTTTACATGAATTTACAATCATAAAAAACTTAAATTGAGGGGATAAAACAAAATTAGAATATTTAAAAAAAAAATGCCTCATTTGTAAATTGTGATAATTTGATTTTAAAAGTATATAAAAACAAATGCCCCTACTCACCAAA